ACTAACATACTCAGAGACATAATGAGGAAAATGCTCCACACACACAAGGAGTCGCATTCATGTTGTCAAGATTGCACAAAGGGCTTTGATAGGATGGGAAGCCCATAGTCCAATAACTATTTCAGCAACATTCCAAACTGAGTAGAAGAAAATACTTATGAGTTCAATATAGTGCTAAGCATCCACCAACGATAGTGATATAGATGAAAAATTAGATCTCTTCATAGAGCTTTGAAATTACCATGGCCAGATTTTCATAAGGCTGTGAGATTACCCTGTACAGATCTTTACAGAGCTTTGAGATTTCCCTTAGCCAGATCTTTGTAAAGCAATCAGATTTTTTCAGGCCTGCTCTTGAAAAAGATTTAAAATTCAATAACAACTTCATGGATTCTTTTATAATTGATTCTTTTTCTTTTTTCTTCCAATTCTCAACTTCAGCAAGGGCGGGGCTTGCAGAAGCAGGACATTATTAGAAAATGTCCTCCTGGTCCTACTACTGGCAATGTTGGCTTCACTGGTGGCTGTCGTGGTGGCGCGAAGCCTATTGGCAGGTACCGTAACTCTAAATATAGTGTATTTTTTTAATTATCCAGGTTTTTTTGAGTGCGAGTTCTCTCTCTTGACCTAAATCTTTACAATTGTTCTGCTACTACTTTTTAACACACAAGATCACGTAATGCATTCCCAATATCTAAAAAGCAATTTTTAGTCGATCAGCTTCCATAGTTGGCTGAGATACATTTGAAAACTTTGTTGTGATCTCATTTTTATGGTTATTTATTCTTGCTTTGCAGCAACCTGTTCGTAAAGGTTTTTATATGAATTTTTTTAGAGGATATTATTATAGCTCTTATGAATAGGTCTTAAGCGTTTAAAAACAAGACTTTTTTTTCTTTCAAATACTGCCCTATTTTACAATCTGTCGCTGCACAATTTCGTTGTCAATAATACTAGAGGCGAAGTGGTTCAAATACTGCCCTATTTTACAATCTGTCGCTGCACAATTTCGTTGTCAATAATACTAGAGGCGAAGTGGTTCAAATACTGCCCTATTTTACAATCTGTCGCTGCACAATTTCGTTGTCAATAATACTAGAGGCGAAGTGGTTCAAATACTGCCCTATTTTACAATCTGTCGCTGCACAATTTCGTTGTCAATAATACTAGAGGCGAAGTGGTTCAAATACTGCCCTATTTTACAATTTGTCGCTGCACAATTTCGTTGTCAGTAATACTAGAGGCGAAGTTGTTCAAATAGTGACTGATATTTTATTATCCACATTCACAATATAAGAATACATTTCACAAAAATCCGAAAACACGGGGAAAATAAATCACAAGAATTTCATTAACTAACTTCTGGATAACATAATCTTCTTTACTTGAGATATGTAACAACAAATTTAGTAATCCTAGCATTATTGACTTTGTTTTTTGTTGAAATTCAGTAGTAGTTTATGATCTACCAATACAGTGAATGAATGTTGTACCCAATAGAAACTTTTGTAGTCGAATTATAGCCCACACTATTGTTAAGCATTCTAATACTATAATGGCATATTTCTGTTCAGCCTCTGTCAATTTTCTGCTAAGGTATAATACAGGTTTGTTAATATTACTGTATGATTGCATTAAACAAGCCCCTATGCCTTCTCTAGATGCATCTGTTGCTACAATTAATGGTTTGTCATATGTAATTGGCTTTAAGATTGGCTCTGATTAAAATTGTAATTGTTATTTGTTAGTCTGTATCACATTCTTCGTTCCATTCTTTTTTTTTTTCATTTGATCCTTTCTTGTCAATTTAAATAGAGCAGTGGTTCTCAGCCTTTCTAATGCCACGACCCTTTAATACAGTTCCTCATGTTGTGGCGACCCCCAACCACAAAATTATTTTCGTAGATACAATATAAATGTAGAGTATACGTGATTTCAGATTGTCTTAGGCGACCCACAGGTTGAGAACCGCTGAACTAGAGGATGTAAAATCTGAGCAAAAATTGGTATGATCATTCTGTAGAAACTGCATAGTCCTACCAATGCTCTTACTTGTTTCTTGTTCACTGGTATTGCTAAATTCAATATTTTCTTAGCAATTTCCTCGAAAGGTTTATTTTGATTATTTCCTAGAATATAACGTCCTAAAAAGTCAAATCTTTGTTGTCTAATCTTTCATTTGCCAGGTGATATAGTGAGACCATTCTCTTTTAATATAGAAAACAATTCTTCTAGGATTGTTAGATGTGTTGTCCAGTCTTTATGGAACACACATCTGTCATCAACATAGTGTCTAATATTTGGCACCTTGTTTAATATATACCGGTAATGTTCGTCATTTTTACAAATGTAGCAGGACTGTTCACTAGCCAAATTAGTATAACATTCCACTCATAAAAGCCATTGTGTGTAACAAATGCTGTGAAGTGTTTAGCTTCCTCTTCCATATTGATTTGCCAAAAACCTCTTGTTAATTCAACATGTGTGAATATATTTTGCCTTGCTATTTCATTGAAAAGATTCCTGTGTTAGACAAAGGTTCTCTGTCTATTACAGTAACTTGGTTTAATCTTCTATAATCACAACACAGTCTAATTGTTCCATTTTTCTTCTTTACAATGACAAAAGAAGAAGTATATGCAGAATTTGAATTTCTGACAAATTATGCTCCAATAAATTCGTTATTTCTTTTTCTACATCATTTCTGTATTTATAAGGCATTTGATATGGCTTGATCTTCTGCTCCTCACGTGTCATCTTTTATTATTTTTGTATTGACTGGTGTATTTGTAATATTTGAACTGTATTTTTGTAATATAAATTTTAGCTTCAGTCTGATTTCCTTGGATAAGTTCTAAATTCCATATCGTGTCTTTCTTGTCTAATTCTAACATAGGCATTTTGAATTCTTCATTTTCTTCTTTAGTTGTAATATTTGCAATTATATTTATAACATTGTCATTCTTCAATGAGGATATTTCTTTACATTCTTTAACTTCTTCTATAATGGTTTGTAAAGGTTTAGGGGGTTCATCAAATTTTCTTAGTAAATCAATGTGAAATGACTTGGTTTTTTCCTTTGATACTTACTATGTAATCTACGTTACTACACATCTCTATCACGGTGTGTGGACCCTGCCACGATTGTTCAAATCCGACTTTCTGTGGTAGAAAAGCAAATCATTTTGTCTTTATGTTATTATTCTCTTAGATATATATGTTTCTAATGACAGTATCTCCATATTCACTGTTTTATGTGTGTGTTTTTCCTTAGCATATTGCATAGCATACATCATTTCTTCTCTTGTCTTGGTTACAAGCTCATATGGAGAAATAAGTTTTTCTTTATTCAATAACAATTCCTTATGTCAGTGATCTTTAGTCAAAGGAGCCAAAAATCAGCAACAGGACGATTAAAAAAATTTTGAAAGCCAATTTTTTTTATAAGAACGTGTCAAGATCCATGTTTTTCGGAGTCAAGCCCGTCTGGCTGAGCCGCACTCAGGTCGCTAAAGAGCCGCACTCAGGTCGCTAAAGAGCCGCACTCAGGTCACTAAAGAGCCGCACTCAGGTCACTAAAGAGCCGCACTCAGGTCACTAAAGGGCCGCACGCAGGTCACGAAAGAGCCGCACTCAGGTCACTAAAGAGCCGCACTCAGGTCACTAAAGAGCCGCGCTCAGGTCACTTAAGAGCCGCACTCAGGTCACTTAAGAGCCGCACTCAGGTCACTAAAAAGCCGCACTCAGGTCGCTAAAGAGCCGCACTCAGGTCGCTAAAGAGCCGCACTCAGGTCGCTAAAGAGCCGCACTCAGGTCGCTAAAGAGCCGCACTCAGGTCACTTAAGAGCCGCATGCGCCCCGTGTGCCGCGATTTGCCGACCACTCACTGCCTTATGCAATGTTTCTAGTCGGCTTTTAGGATTTGCTACAAAAAAAAAAAAAACAAGCTCAAATGGTGAGAAACCTGTTGTTTCGTGTGGCTCGTCTCTGTAGGCAAAAAGTACCAATGATAAAAAATCTGTCCCAATCTGCTTCTTTATCATTGACAACTATCAGCTTGCTCGCAAAAAATACGTTCTCTACGTCGCTGATGACAAAATAATTAATAATTTGAAAACAAAACTCTATCCCTTACGGGCCGTATGTCATCTTGACACACACGTTTTTTGCGTTTGTTTTGTTTTGTTTTTTGGATATGCCAAAAATAAGTGCGCGAGTGAGTTTTACGGCACCTAGTCCATGTATCAACACAATATAAGTCTTCATTACGACACCCACGGTCGTCTCTGCTCAGCCTTCTCAAAGTCTGAGCACTCCATATAAGATATATAAGAAATATTTTACAATAGTACCCATCTCCCATTATTATTCATTTTCATATCTGTGTCACAGCTATTACCTTATTTTTCAAGTATTACCTTATTTACACAAAATATCGTATTTATAGATGACAGCGATGTTTGCCTCAGGAAAGGTTGTGTTGTGGCCGGTGAGTTATTGAATTAATTCGCTATTACTATTACTTTGAAATCAAAACGAAATGGCAAATCTGGCAAAAGTTTAAAAGAATCTGCACGCAGTCCTTAAAAATCAAAACATTCCCATTTTATGATATTTTAATTTTAAAGTCTGAATAATCTGTTTTCTTTTACGTACTAAAAGCGATAAATAGTCATTTAAGAACAATTGAAAGATTTTTTTTTTAATTTAAATAGATTTTTGGAACATCAAAGCGCTTTGAGCATGCTAAAATAGTATGGACACAAGCGCTATAAAAGTACTTAATCATACTATTCAGTCTCAAAGTGATTTTGTTTATTATTAATTTTTTTTTTTTTTAAATTGACGAATGAATCATTTTTGTTTCATGAAAAACTGAATGTTAAATACTGTCAAATGCAAAACTCTATTTACGTTAATTTTTTTTTCGAATTATTAATGTTATTATTATTATCTGAATCTGATTTAATGTTAATGTTTTTCCAACACTTCCCAAACACCTTTCTACAGCTGCCCGGATTGAGCAGAGCTTGGACTACAGCGTGAATCCATGTGACAACTTGTACCAGTTCGCGTGTGGTCGTTGGTTGAAGGAGAACGTCATTCCGGAGGACAAGGACGGCTTTAACACGTTTGCCCCCCTAGTAGACCAGATAGACATCGTCATCAAAAGTTGGTCTTCACTGCTGTCCAATTTTGAGATTATTATATTTTTAACAGAAATGTTTTGAGGTTCTTCAAAGTTTTACAATATGTGATTTGCCTGCAGGGATCAGAAGCTGAGTCCAACGAGTACATCTCTTTGTTTTTGACCGCATGCTGGCCCCTCATTCGGATTTTTTTCTCTTCACAATTATTATTATTTTGAAATTTGCCAGGGTCCCAATTTTTACTCTTTTTTTTTTCCTTTGGTACCAAAATCTCGTCTACATCGACCATAGTATAATAAGTATTATAGTAAATAATCATATTATCAAATGACCACAATAGGAAAAAGCCTCGGCTGCTTGATTTTTCACCTGTAGCGTCTGATATGGGCACTCGTACTGTGTGTTATCCTACAAATTGGCTTACTACAATTGGCTAAACCAACATTGTTCAGTTTTAACCCTTATAATACAACCTTTTTCTGTTCAATTTGAACCCTTATAAAATGAACAAATATTTCAGTTTTAACCTTTATAAGAAAAAAAAAATAATTCACTTATAAAACCAACCCATGTTTCAGACCTGCTAGAAGAGCCTCAAAAGCCCACAGATCTGAACAGTATAAATAAAGCGAAGATTCTCTACGCTTCTTGTCTTAATGTCGGTAAGTGACCACTGGTCAATCAACGATTTAAATTTAAGTGAAGTGTATGAAGTGTAATTTTAGGTGATTTTTTTTCATTGGTTTGGGGGGGGGGTTACTTAAAGGGAGGGGGGGTTACATTAATCCCCATGATGCTACCATAATCACAAGCATGTAAGCGACGGTCTGGTGTGTGAGTGGCTGGCGGACATATCACTAATGGGCTAATATGTGAGACACGGGCCCACATGTGAGTGGTGGACCGGGATATGAGTGGTGGGTGGACAAACATGTGAACGACTGGCCGTTAAGTGAGTGGCTGGCCAAGATGTGTCACCGACGGGCCAATATGTGAGCAAAGGGCCCGTATGTGAGTGGCGGGCCAGCATGTGAACGACGGGTCGGTATGTGAGTGGCTGAACAACATGAGAGAACAACATGAGTGGCGGGCCAGCATGTGAACGACGGGTCGGTAAGTGATTGGCGGGCCAGCATGTGAGTGGCGGGCCAGTATGTTAGTAGTGGGACAACATGTTAGTAGCGGGCCAACGTGTGAGTGGTGGAACCACATGTGAATGGTGGGCCTGCATATGAAGGACGGGTCGTTAAGTGAGTGGCTGTAGAACATGTTAATGGCGGGCCAGCATGTGAGTGGCGAGCCTGCATATGAGTGGCGGGCCTGCATGTGAGTGGCGGGCCTGCATGTGAGTGGCGGGCCTGCATGTGAGTGGCGGGCCTGCATGTGAGTGGCGGGCCTGCATGTGAGTGGCGGGCCTGCATGTGAGTGGCGGGCCTGCATGTGAGTGGCGGGCCTGCATGTGAGTGGCGGGCCTGCATGTGAACGATTGGTCAACGTGCCGTATATAGATAACTTAGACAAAAAGCCCAACCGAACCCGGAGATGGCATCCTGCAGGCGATGTAACATAACCCCTGTGACGCCCCCTACTTCCCAGCTCAATCATCTAGTTAATGTTCCCTTGGCTGCACTAGCTACTTGGAGAGGGTATCTGATGGACTTTTTGAAGCTAGTGTTATATTACATCGAATTGTATTTTGGTCTGGGTGAACCACCAAGACGATTTATGTAAATGTGGATATAATTCAATATTTTAAATGTACTCTTTCTTTTAAAACCCACAAAACAATAAATTGTATATTAATCTCATGTTTATTTTGATTTGAAGCTCGGTAAGCCTAGCCCTGGGCTGGGATACCGCGCTCTATAAGACCGCTGAAATAATAATAATAATAGTAATAGCTTCAGTGGAAAGGAATTCAAGAGAGAGAGAGAGAGAGAGAGAGAGAGAGAGAGAGAGAGAGAGAGAGAGAGAGAGAGAGAGAGAGAGAGAGAGAGAGAGAGAGGGGGGGGGGGAATTTAAATGAAATTTATTTGATTTTAATTTTCTCCCAGATTTGATCAATGAAAAGGGAGGTCAGCCACTGAATGATCTCCTGTTAAATGGGTTTGACGGCTGGCCCCTGACCAACAGTCGATGGAATCAATCAGCTTTCGATCTGGTCACGACACTCAGTAAAGTGAACCAATATAGCGTGTACACGCTCATCAATCTATACGCAGGCTCCGACTTAAAGAATTCATCACAAAGACGTCTATATGTAAGATTTATGACCATTTGGGGGTCAGAGTTTACTGTGCCATTATTTGTACATACCTTCAGTTATGTGAAGTCCTTGTGCCAGTATAATAGGCCTACTAGTCGATTGATTTCTTCGAAAAGTACTTACTGTATACTATACTAGACTGTACCGTATTATACTGGCCACCCTTTGTTACGTGTATATATATATATATATATATATATATATGTTTTTATTTCCTACAATAGACACCTTTTCGTTACCGATGACGTCGACGTGACGTCACGATCACCAACTTTCAATTACCAAGGGCGTCACGTTGTCGTCGTAACAAAGAGGCAAAGAACTTTTCTGAAATACCAAGGACGTCACGTCGACGTCATGTTTCAATGCTATATATTTTTTTATTCGTTATCTGTAGAGAAGTTTTAAACAGCGAATCCGAGAGAGAATGAAAAATACCGACAATGTCTTATCTTTTTTTTTTCTTTTTTTTTTTTTTTAGATGTTATCACCGTTTGGTGTTCAGAGGAACTAAAGATAAGTTTTACTTTCATATTATGTCGAATCCCACTGGACCTATTGCGTCACTCAGGTGCAGATTATGGTTTCTAATTTCCCTGGCTGTTAGCTTATCCCGGGGAAAATGGAAATGGAATTTTCTGCATCATGAGAACCCAGGATAACAGTCATTTGATTTAAAATATTATATTAGAACCTGATTTAAACCCAAAAAGGGTTTTATTTAACGGTTGTTTAATTATTATTATTATTATTATTATTATTATTATTATTATTATTATTGTCATTTTATTAATTTTTAAAAAATATATAACATTAACTTAAGGTCAGTTGAGAGGTTGGACACTTGCTACCGGTTGCTTCATTGTACCCGGCTTACCCCTAGCAATTGGATAAAGGGCTAACAGTGTGCTTGTTAAGCAAAAGTTGGATATAGACTAATCGTACATCGGACATAAGTCCGTAGAAAAACAACATAACACTAAATGAATTTTACATTCTTCACAGGTCGCTAATTCTAGTTTGAATCCGTCACTAAATATTTACGAGAAAATTTTCCAATATTCCAAAAAACTTGTAAAAAGAGAATTTTTTTTTTAAAGACAATTACGAATAAAACGAAACAATGGACATGTCAGCAGAAAGCCCTCCCAACGAACATGACACATAAAATAACCTATCTGGTGCATTGGAGAGTTCCAGTAAAATTCACGATCCACATGGGTCACTAGTATTTTTAGGAACACGTATACGGTCTGATGTAAAATTAACCAAATTTATGTTTTGCAGTTGGACGAAATCTTCATTTAAAGTTTAAAATTGCTTGTATTATTTATTTACTTTTTTTTATTTTTTGTTTAGATTGATCAAACATCGTTTGGTATGCCAGGACAGAAATATTATTTGGTACCCAGAAATGACACAATGCTGATGGCCTACGAGGACTTGATCTACGGGCTGGCTAACCTCTTGGGGT